CATGAGTACTATAATTGTTTCAGTGGTGTCTATTTGTGCAAGTAGATTTTGTGGAGTATTTTGCTTGTCTATCAAGTGAGTCATTTTGTTGTTTTTTCTTTGTTTGGATGTTTGCTGTTGGTTGTTTTTTTTTCTTCTTTCTATCACATAGTAGAAAAGTAATGTGATTAATGAACAACTCGAGTTAATTGGGGAAAAAAAAATGAGATAAACAAGTTCCCATTCTTCCTAATCTTTGCATATTAGCTCCAATTGAGACCTGATCCACAATGAATAATTAAATAGTAAAAATTAAACTTGCGGTCATATAATTGCAGTAGAAATGAATGTGTGTGCATTCTGTGAAAAGATTTATTTTAGTACTTAGAATAAACCTTCGGACGTAATTTCATCACATTACTAATGAAGTGTTTACATTGAGCTAGACATTACTGACAGCAGTAGCTGGCAGTCCTTACAGAGGCCTGGTTTTGAAAAAAACTGCAAATGTGTGACTCTGAAGTGCTGAAGTGTTATTGCTAGTGTTGGTAACAGGACAAAAGAGCCAATACAGTGTCCTCATGGGGTCGGTGCCAGCTGATCCCTTCACAGCTGTAAGAAGAAGAAGGGTCTCCAGCTCAGATTTCATCGTCACACTCTGGTACCTATCAGTAAATTAGGCTAATTATATCTTTAGGCTACTGATGTCTGCATAGTAAAAAAAAAAAAAACCAACAACAAAAAAAAACAAAATAGGAGAGGGGGAAATTAAGGTTTAGCAGGGCTTTGTTTGATACCATTCATCATACCCACTTAACCTTTAAAATAAATCAGCCGGTCAAAGTGTCTTTTTCAACCAATAAATAAGAAAGAAAGAAAACTGCATACCTCATGGCTGACTTCTCTGCCCTCGAATGGCCTGACTTTTTGATGTCAGCGTAGAGCTCTCACAACTGAGTTGAAATGAAACGGGACCGGACAGCACAGTGATGGGCAGCACTAAGGAAACTGCCCTGATAGACCATTTGTTTGAGAGCATCTCGTGTAGTAATCACTCTTGGAAAAATAAGCAGCGGGGAGCTGAGCTGCCCAGCCCTGATGTGGGTGTGGGGAGGAGGGCTGTTGCTCCTCATGGCTTTTCTGCAGGACCGCTGTTTGCAACAGACTCGATCATTTAATAGGAATGTTATGACATTTCCAGAAATAGAATTCAGGCTTTTTTTGTAAGATAAGAGGAAAAGTTGGTTGGCTTTGTCACATCCTTTGTTTTTACAGAATTAGTTTTGATGGATGAAGCAGTGGCAGAGAGATCTGAAGTTCACAAGTGATATTTATTTATTGCACTGCGTGTTCTTTTGTGGTAGCAGTTACTCAGCCATACAAATTAAAAAGTCAATTCTAAATCAACTTACACCCAGGAAGATCAGGAGTTTCATCAGAAAAAAAAAACAAAAAAACAACCTTAAACAAAAACCTCTCCATATGAACGCTTCTAACTACCGCATCTGTTACTGCATGACTGTTTCCTGGAGGCAAAAGGATGTTTTAATCTTCAGGCATAGTTGGTATCTCTCTCTTCTGCTAAGAAAGTGCCACCTTCTATAGGTTCTTTAAAACGTTCACACCTGACCATTGGAAGTGACTCAGTACCCCCCAGACATCTCCTGTGAGCAGAGTGCTGCAGAAAGGAGTTTTCTTCATTAACATGCTGCTTAATGCTGGGAGCAGCAGCCAGTTTTGTACAACATTTTCTTTGTGTTTTTACTGAAAGGAAAAAACAATTTCTCTGGTCTCTCCCTATTCAGGAAATGAAGTAGCACTTGCTTTGCAAAGCATTAGCTTCAGTGATAATTTTTCTGAATAGTTAGTAGAGGGTTTTCCTTAACAAAGGTCGTATCGTTGTGGGATTTTTTACTATTTTTAGAAAGAGCTGCACATGGATATCAGTTTGGTGTTAATAGCTTGGAAAAACATCTAGATGAATAAACCAAATACAAATGTAATAGTTACAAGTACTAGTCATAATTAAAATCCAGAGAGAGAAGACACTCAATAAATCAGAGTGCATAGGAACCAGATGTTGTGTTTGGGGCAGTGATGGAAGCTGCACGTGGCCCTCAGAGATGAAGGTGATGTTCTGTGGGCAGCAAAATACGCTTTTCTAACGGCCTCTGCCTGACTGCCTCGTGCCAGGATGAGCCCACCTTTGGGCTTTGCTGCTCTTCATCCTAACAGTACCTCTTCTGTGGTTTATGTTTATGCAGCCTGGTAGTTTTTGAAGAACAGATTAGGAAAGAATTTATTTCCTTTAAAGGTGGTGGGATGCTGCTGGTGAGGGACTGCATCCTGTTTCAAAGAACTGTGCCACTGCTTGTAAGTGTTTTGCAAAAAACAGTTTTGTTTTAAAGCAAAATGGAAAATAAATAAATAAATAAAAAGAGATATCAAGGCTGATGCTATCTGCACTCAGGAGTAATTTGATCATAACCCTCTTTATATCTGCCTCTTCCCCTATCTGAAGTTCCCTACCTTAAAATGAATTTGTTCCTGAGACTGCTCACAGAGGTAATCTAAACTGGTCCTCGCTGTCAATGACACGTGTATAATGACATTTTATGGCTTGTCTTAGCCAGCCTGCCTGAGGACTCCTGTCGCTAATTGGAGTGTTAGGAGCTGCCCACAGCCCTGGGGACAAAGCAGCACCGGGGCTTCGAAACCACAGAATGGGCTCCTACCCATTGTGCAGTGTGCATCCATCCCATGGGACGTCCCTGCTCCCTGCAGGCTCATTCAGAATCCCTGGGAAACACAGGGCGAGGTGGGCTCTCAGCCCCAGACCCCCTGCTCTGTAATATGGGTGCTACCAATGGGGGGTAAAATGCAAATTTTATTGCAGCAAGACAATGTTTTCCTTTTGGATTCTGGGTTTTGTGTGCTTTTGGAAAGCATTTGGCAGCCACAGCAAGTATGTTTACAAAAAGAGCAGAACTGGTAAAGTTCAGGTTCGTGTTTGGATTCAGCCCCAGCAAACTGAAGCTGAAGCTGTGCCAGACGTTTGAAGCTGCCAGACGACAGTTCATCTCAAACAGAAAGCTGAAGAGGGGGAAAGAAATTTGTCAAATGTATTCCATGTGGAATTTCAGGCAATTTAATTTGATTCACTACACTCTGAAATGTCTTGGACTTCCCTATTGTTTCTTTACTTTAACACTAAATTTGATACCTTCTGGGATCAGCAGTACTTTGTGTTGCATTCGTCACATCCTCTAATTTACTGGCTTTAGTCTCTTTGTTTTAATTGACAATACTAAGCCCTGCCAAAAGCTCTCTGTTAACTTTAGGGTCCTTTTAGTCCTGCAGTTGTTCTTCGAGGGAGGCAGTGCTGCCTTTCTTGGTGGGAGGACTACTGCAGTAAGAAGGGGCAAAAGGGGTAAATGGGAAAAGGGAAAGGGAAAATGATAGATTTCATCTGTGTGCCTCCATCAGAAGCACCTGTGGGTGAATTTCCTACAGATTCAGTGGACACTGCAACCTGGCCCTGGTGCAGGAGCACCGTGGCTCTCTCCAGCCATGCAGCCACTCCATCTCTCTACTTCTCCTGTTTATTACCCTCTGAAGTGCATGTCTGTTATGGAGGCCACTTCTCCAAGTCCTTCTGACCAAGTGCCAGAAACAGAACCTTGAACTTCTGTAAATGAAGCTGCCGGAATTTGTCCAAATGTCAGAACACTGGAGCCCACACCATTTAAGTTCAAATAATATTCATTTCTCTTGAAACCTATAGACTTGTGTAAACTCTGTATATTTTCCCAGATAAAAAAAATAGAATAAAACCTCCAATTTTAATATTCTTGCCTGAGCCATCTGTTAATTCAGTATAATGTGATTGACCTCTCTGGATCAGTGTACGTTTGCTCCCTCAGCTGGGTTAGGAAGACAAGAACAGCCAAACCCAAAGTTGCCTCACAAGTCAATAGCGAGGAGTTCGGTGCCTTTACTGGCGTGTCTGATTTATTATTATTTTTTTCCTGACAAGTGCAGCTTCTATATCTAGGTGTTGAAGTTTTGTCTTGAAGGGCAGGAAAAGAGAAGGGCTGGAGGCTATCTGACAGGGCTGCAGTCAGAGCATCTCTTTCAGATTCTCTTCTTAGGCTGTAAAAATGGTCTACACTCACATTTTTTTTTTTTCTCCCTGACATCTTTCAGCAGCTCCCTGTGACTTTCAAATCCAGTTCTGGCAAGTTGAAAAGGAGGGATGTGGGACAAGGGAATGAATGCTCAGGGCTGTCAGTGGGGCTGGTGGAAGCAGGCAGGGCTGCCTGCAGTTGTGCATATGTGATGCATTGCCCAGCTCCCACCTCTGCTCCAAATGTTGGATGTTTCTGATAGGGGCAGGGCTGAGGCTCTGCTCTTCCCAGGAGCTCTCAGGAGAAGAGCACTTCCCAGCCCCAATCACCCCATAGCTTCTCTCCAGGATGCTTCTGCACCAGGAGGTTGCATGAACCTAGAAGCTGCCCTATGATGACATAAGATCTTGACTTCGTAATTAAGCTGCTGTAAAATCTGTGGCTTTTTTCTCAAGAAATGTGTAGTGATGTTTAAAATCTGTTCTGTGTAAGCATTTCGACAAACACGAGAGTGCTTTGAAAATCATTAGTGCTAAAGGTAAATCCTCTAAGTAAAGCGCCCTGGGATTTATGTACTCAGTGCTGTAGTAATAATAATTAAAATGCATACTATTGCAGGTAACTCCCACAACTTGCACTTTGCTCTGAAGCTGAGAAACTCATTGATTAATCCATGGGGTCAATCAGTCCATCTTGTTTGGAGAGTTAATCATAGAGAGGCTGTGCATGATGACCAGCGCTGAAACAGGTTTGTTTACTGGTGCTTAATCAGGGAACCCAAACTCTCCTGTGGAGAGTTTGGTGAGAGGTTTGTTTCTACTTAGCCTTTAATTGCAAAATGATCTCATTAGTGCTATGGTGAATCTCAGTAGTATCCTATAGATGCGTGGGCTAGCAGAAATGCTAAGTCACAGGTTGAACCAGTGATGGAACACCTGGTGGGAAGGCAGGGCCAACCCAAAGGAGCTCACCTGCGTGCAGTGAGTGACCAGAAGATGTGGAGTCAGGATCCACCCCTCCCCAGATCTCCCTGAAGGGTTGCAGTGTAGGTAAGGATGTCTTGCTGAAGATCTCTGTGTACCTGAGGCATTTTGAAGGCAAGTGGTTTCTTTTCTTTCTTTTTATGCCTATGGTTTGTGTTTGAGCAAATCCTCACTCCTTGTAGTTGGGATTTTGCTGCTCTGCTGTCGTTGCTGCAGTTTCCATTGCATAAGACGTGGAATTTAAAGAAGAGCAAAGAGCAGAAATGATTGCCCGCAAGAAGTTAGCGTTTGTCAGGAAGTGTCGTGCTGTAGATATTTTCAAGATTAACTGATCTAGGCTTCCCTTTATTTGCCTTTATGTCCCAAACAAAAGCTACAGCTGCTCATCCTGGTCGCTTTTGTTCTACCTTATCTTTAAGAACAGAAGAGGACTGTTGTAATGAAACTGCTACGATGGGGTATTTAGTGGAAGACAGAAGTTTCCATTGAAAAGAATAACGGAAGTCAACAGGGCGTTTACTATGATATTCACTGCAGAAAGGGGTAATTCTCTGAGTTATCCCAGCTCGGGGCTGCCTCCCTCTCCATGAAAAGGACTTCAGGCCATATTAGGTGTCCTGACTGGCGTCTGGCGTCAGTCCTTGACTCGTTTTTTAAATGTCTTGATAGTGCAGAGGGGAAGTAACAAGCTCTCTGCTAATAAGCAAATCCCAGGTAAAGCAATTGCTGCTAAAATAGGTGCTGGAAACCCAGAGGTGAGGTTGCGCCTCCAGGGTAAAGTTTTGAGCAAATAAAGCAGTGAGTGGCATCCTTAACGTGGGGTGCTAATGGATGCAGGTTCAGGTTCCTGTACTGAGGAAAATCCAGTGTGAACTCACTGCCTCTTGAAATCTGGGAAGTGTCTCCTTTGTAGCAAGCTTCTGGCTTGGATTTAGGAAATTGGGGATCAGATGACTCCCCCCAACCCGATTCTAAATACCAGGAAGAGAATAGAATGCAATATTCCATTTACTACCAGTGGCTTCTAATCAGATAAAAATAAGTGACAGTGTAGGATGAATCCCTCTACTAACTGCCAGAACGTGTCGATTTATCAAATTTTTCCACTGTTGCTCTTTTTTGAGCTAGCCTCAGAGCTGACAGTGTGTGTTTTACAGTGCAGCAAGGTAGATTGATTGATCCTAAATAGAAAAGCCTTTGGGGTCTCTAGCTGATGTTTTAGCTTCAGAAAAAAAAATCCTGAATAAAGCATGTTAATGTAGAGAAAGGAGCCTGCTTTAATTGGACCAACTCCTGGCTTGCTGAAAATTAATGGCTGGCTGGCTGTTGCCACAGTGATTCATCTTTTCTATCATGTTCTACAGTCCTTCTCTCCAGGGGGTCTCTACTCCCCTCCAATTCCAATACCAAAAGTGAAATACACATTTTTTTCCCCCTTTAAAAACATATATTTTAGTTGAATTGGCTTCAAGTAAATGAAAAATAGCACTGGTGGGAGTATGAAGGAGGCAGGCAGTGTCTGGGAATTGGAGTTTGTTTACTGTAGGGCTGGTTTTGTTTTGTTTGAATGGGATTTAGATCTTTTTTAATGTACTCTCAACTCCTCATCGCTACTGGCTGACTGTACAGGTGACAGAAAGACTTTCTAAGGATCCCGACTTCAATGTGCTGAAAGTTATTGTTCCTTTTCATTTTATCTGGCCACAGAAACAGGTACTACATGTAAGCAAGTGCTGTAAAAAATGAATGTAAAACTGGAAATGGTGTTGAAAGCGTTTTGGTGGCTCTGGAAATGAAAAGATGAATTTTCTGTGTAGCTGTACCAAACCCACAGATATCTATCTATCTATCTATATATATATTTTTTTTTTCAATAACTTACTGTACTTGAAGAGGCTTGCAGTTTTGCCCATAAAACCTGTTGGAGGCAGTGCTAGTTGCAACAAACACAACAACCTGCAAATGAACATCAGGTAGGAAGTTTAATAGCACAGGTCCAAATCCTGCATGGATTGTTTGATCACGGAGGGGTTGGGATCTGGAATTTGAAGTGGTGAAATTCAAAATATACTTCTACATGTAAAATACTATTTTATGTACATTTCAAATCTGTCTTACTGCTGGAGATGAATCCTACCACAGCTCATTGGCTGTTTGAGAAGTGTCACCAGTTGACTGGCACATGGAGTTACTTCTAACAAGTGTACAATGGGTTGAGAATGTTGTGAATTCTGTATTATTGCACAGAATTTACAGAACAATTCACTGTACCTGTAGATTGCAAGACAAAGAGAGATTTTGTTGACCATAATTACACTTGATAATTTGTTATGTTAACTTATTGTTATTCCATTAAGGCAAATATTAGCAGTCATAGCTCAGAGATTGTAAATAATCCTCTGGAAAATTGGTTTCCAGTAGATTTCTTTATTATTAATTGCTGAGAGGTAACATAAAGAAAATGGTAAATCATGCTGGATGTTTTCAGCAGCTGATAGATGTTGGTCAGTTTGTTAATTCTGATAACTCATTCATTTGTTGTTTCTTTATTCTATGAACACTTACAAATAATCAATGCTTTAGGAAGGATGTGGGTGTGCACGCTTTGTATATACAGTCCTATACCAACCAACACATTCCTTTATTTCAAATGTTTTTCTGTATCAAAGCATTTTCTTAAACTGTGTACTGTTAAACTTGATCACTGGGGATGTGTGTATTAGGCTGTGTTTGAATTGCTACTCCTACCATTTTACCAGGAGAGTTTGGTTCTCCCACAGTACTATAAATATTAAATAAAGACACTAAGAGTTTATTAGAGTAATATTTTTTATGGGAACGTGGTTGGAAAATGGAACCCATAAAATTAGGAATGGCAGGTTGAAAATTATACATTGTTTTTATCAGGTTTTACAGCTATTGTTTTTTTGTGTTTATGCATTGTTTTTCTGGTACAGAAGGAGAAGGGCTCAGTATTTTATTAACTGAGTAGCAAATATAGTTGTGCATCATACGAGAGTATTGGATTCACTGTAAGCAGGAGTGAGATGGAAAGAGCACTCAGGACTCATGTCGTATTGTTTGTGAGTGGATTGGCTCAAATTAAGTTTTGTTTCCACAAAGCACCGAAATAGCAACATCTCCAGGTATTTTATAGTAGCAAAAGCTTTCTGTACATTTGTCCTTTTAGTACAAGAGAGAGAGCATCCTCTTTCCTTCCTCTCAGCATTAGACTTTCTAAATGAAATATTTATTCCTGGAATTCCACCAAAGCATTTCTATTTCTCCATGCTCTGTTTTATGAAGCAATTTCAGCAATAAGCTGTGCAGCATTCCTTAATTTTTTTTTTAACCTTGTGCCAATTTTGGAAACTTGCTTCTGTGAAGTGCCTGTGAAAGTCCATTTTCCAATGTAAAACATATTCTCCATTTGGTTAATGGATGATTGAGGGGTGTGCACTCCAGCAGTTTGGCTGAGAAACCGGGAGCCTGAATTTCAGGATTCAGTTCTGAGCTTTGCTTGTGGGGTGATACGCATGTATTTTGGTGAACTGGGTGGTTTGGTGCCTGTTCTTAGACAACAGGTTTCTATCTGCTGAGAAAGTCTTTTCATTATTGTATTTGTTGTGATACACAAGGGCAGATGCTGCCACCAACCTGCTAACATGGCTGGGCACTGGTGTTGGAAGCACTGGGCCAGAAGTACCAACGTAGTAGAAGATAGCATGAAAGGGACACTTTTGCACAGGCCCCAGGACTCTGCAGTTTTTCCAGACATCCAAAATTCCCAGAGGTGACAGTTAAGCCATCCTCCTATTAGTGACATTGACAAGGCTGGACTTAGGGTTCAGGTTTGTCACAGTCACGCTGGGTGTACAGAGACACCTCCTGAGGAGGAGAGGAGATACTGCAGTAAATAGGGGGGTGTATTTGCTGCTTTGAAGTTTATCAGGAACGAAACAACTTTGCAGTGCTAATAATCAAAACCATGGTGAAAAACAGAGTCCTGAAGGGACTTGTGTCCTGAGCTGTGGGATGATGGTGTGCCAGGAAGGAGTATATTCTAATAAATAAGTATTATCCCTCTTGCTCCTCTGGCCCTGTGCAGCTTGCCAGAGGGGGCACTTTTTAATGGACTAGTAGAAGCTAACAGAGAATCCAGAAGGATAAGGCTTAAAGTCAGTTCTTTGGTTTATACCATTTATAGTCCTTTAAATTCAATGCATTTCTCAGGCATTTGGAGGGCAAGGAAGTTCAGTGTATTCATATGTCTTTCAAGATCCTCACCTGATCATTTGACTCTGTCCAGCTAGCTTAACAAGCTAAATAATAAAAGGGAACAATGCAAAACTTGTTGAATTTTTTTACCCTCTGTCTTTTTTTGAAGAAAGATCCCAGTTTTTTTCTCAGGTGCCCAGCAGTTTGCTGCAGGCTCCTGCAGCTTTTTTTCCCATCGCTCAATACCTATTTCAGCATATATCAAATTGTTGTATTTCTTCCTTTCATAGAGGAGCAATTAAAAATGATGAGGGTAAAGGGTTAAACCTAAAAGCCTGCTAATGAGGGTGCCTTCTTGGTTTTCTTTTCATCAGGCATTTGATGCTGTTTTCAGCATAAGCCTTCGATAAGCATCACTGAACATTTTTCCAGAGTATATTAAAAAAAAGTTTTCTTTTTCACCATCCTGTAAAAATGATAGATGTGTGGCTCTGCTGTTTATCTGAAACCCTAATTACTGATGCTCCCGCTTTTGAATGTTAAATTCATGCAGTGTTCTTTAGACTTCAAACTGGTCAGAGAAAGATGGATTTGTGTCCACAGAGAGATCTAAGTCCTGTAAACAGAGCCAATGTTTGTTTATTTGTTAAATTATTTTAGAGTCAAGAGTTGCATCAATTGCAAATTGCATAGATTTACATCTTTCTAAAGGAATGAAAGCAAACAAAAATTTTCTGCCAGTGGGTGAAGTTTTAGTTTCTGTCTCCATGAGAGCAAAGAGGAGAAGGAAGAGGTGGGATTTGAAAATATGGAGATGTCCTTTCCTCGAGCTATAGCATTTGTTACAGAAAAACAATCTGATTTTTTTTTTTCCAGTACATACATATGTATCTGTTAAAATATTAAATATGTAGATATGCAAATATATATGTATGTACATAGAAAAATATGGAAGTGTATATATGTGTTTATATATATGCATGTGAAATGATTCTCTGTAGTCGCATAGCGTTCCGAAGAATCATTTCACAGGGACAACCACAGGATTATTAATGTCATCCATTGCAGCCGTGTGGTGAAAATGTGAGCAGTTCATTCACACTGTGTTGCAGATCTGTTTTCTATGCTGTGTAAAATGGTGCCTAGAGCAATAGCAGCAGCAATACCTAACAGCAGCTAAACTCCGTGGTCCCCAGTATTTGGGCCTTGATGAGTTTCTGAATTGCCTCCCCTATGAGGCTGAAATCATCTGCAAAGCCAGGCTCGCTTCTTTATTAGCACTGGTTATAGGAGAATGTTTGCTTTGAGATCTGCTTGTGGGCATCTCTCACAGCTTCCTTGCCACAAGCTGAGGGAAGGCAGAGGACTTAGCAGGGAGGATGGTTAGCAATTGTTGTGTTTGTTGTATTGCTTTCCATAAGACAGGGAGTGATTGTGTGTTCTGCTTTGTGCCTTGGCAGCAAGGCACTGGCTTTACTGGTGGCACTGACTTTTGAACATCACCAGGCAGTCACAGGGGCGAACAGATCTCAGGTGAAATCAATTTGTTAATTCGCATTCATGCCTTGTGATTTGTAGGACCCGCTGCTGCCATGTAAGGCTGAGCCTGGGGTTGGGTTGGCTGTTGGGCTGAGCAGGAAGACAGTGGGGTCTCAGTGTCTGCTGCTGGGACACGCTGTCACCTGCTAGTGTAGACATGGCCATAGGTGCATGAGGCCTTAGAAACATGCAGCAGTGAGCAGCCAGCTCCTGGGGTACCATTCAGGTGGGCTGCAGCCTGCCTGCTGCTGCTCAGGCTGTTGTGCACTGTGCAGCCTCTGGCCGTGACTAAGCACAATGGAATTCGGGTGTCCTTGAAAGCTTTCTCTGCTTGCAGCTCCTGAGGACTCTTCAGTGGAGTTGGCTGCATGATTCATTGCTGCATCCCTCTACCTGTGCTACCTGAGAGAGCAGTGTGGAGCGGAGACGTTGCTTGTTTAAAAAATTAGACATAATTTCTCTCAGGATTTTCTCTGTCTCTAGTCAAGTTTGTTTTAAACTAATGGAAATAATTAGCAAGGCACAGAGGGACTTTGTCTAAGAGGTAGCCATATTTAGATAATGGAGCATAAAAGTCGACACAGTGACATATGACACAGAGAAGCATATTGGAGCAATGCGCTGTGTCTTAAGCAGATGTTTAAGTACTTTGAGTCCCAAAATCACTGCGTACACATATAGGAAGAGGTTTTTTTGTTTTTTTTTCCTCTGACTACACTGTGGGGCTGCTTTCCTTCTCAATAAAATCAAAGAAGGCTCTGAATTCTTATTAACGTGTAGTCATTATCACTCCTTTCTATCTTCTTCGAATGTCTTTTCTGTATATAATAGGTTGGAACTTCCGGAGGTACGGATGGAAGTTGCTTTTTGCACTGCCATTATATAGCAGAAGATTGCAGTAATACACCAGCAGATGTGACCTGTTTCTAACAACGCTGATGGTGCAGAGATGAGAATAAATAACGTATTAGCAGCAAAGCGCTCAACGTGTTTGCACCTACTTGTTATAGCTGTGAGTGCAAGAGAGCTTTGCAGAAGTTCTTGGGAGATGGAGGAATGCCACAGGGCATGGGACATCTCCCTGGTGGCACCAGCCACCCCCTGTGTCCCTGAAGCCACCCCAGGTTCTTTCAGGTGCCAGCGAACTGCCTGTGTTCGACCTCATTTGGTGCTTTCATGAATCATTTTTCAGACTAGCCTAAAACTAAATGAAGTCCACACGTGGGCTTGTTGGCTGTGTCTTTACTGTTGGTGAACAAAGCCTGGTGTGATCTGAGTACTGACCTGGGATTGTTCCTGCAGTCAGATCAGTGATAGGGATTATCCCCAGTACACCATTTAGAATACCTTGTTTTGGGAGATAAGAAATTTTGGCCTTCTGTTTTGTGCCAGCTGACCCCAATCCTGAGCACTGGCTTGTTCTTATTCGTTGAGCCTGATGGAAGTTTCACCATCATAGGACAGAAATCCCCCTCTCCGGACTGCTGAATATCAATGCCTTGCTGTGACAGACAGTGACTAAAAAGCAAGGATGCCAAGAGCTTCAATCTGTGGTCAAAGTAGCAATTAAGTAATATCCTGTCCCTTAGAGAAATGGTAGCCAACATTTCATTCAAACTGTGAGTGATGCAGGAGATGCTGCTTCCTATTACACTGAAAAGCATTTGTTATGGTTCTGGAGATAGAAAGCAGAGATAACTGGTCAAATGCCTGGACTAAAGCATTTCAGATGAGATAGGCATGGACATTATTTATTGCAGGCTGAGCTACAGTAAAGGTAAAGACAGCAAACCCATGCTTTCCAAAGCAAAGTGGAAGGATTTTGTTTTCCCTGGCCTCCAGATTTAAGGAGAGCCTAGTGCTGCAGACTGTAACAATGAAATTGCTTAAAAGCATTACACGCTTTTTTTTTATATGCTAGGTAACTTTATCTGTCTTCTTTTTTGTAAATCAATGTCTGACAGTTACTGTTTGTGCTTAATAATTTACTGCAGCATTAGCTAACAGTTCCCACCACACTCACATAGGAATGTACTGATGATGTGGTTTAACTCAATACTCAGCCTGAAAAGCTTCTGTAAAATGTATGGTTATGGCATGGCTACAGCATCCTGATGAGGGAGGGGTGCACTTCGAAGGAGGCGAAAGGGAGTCCTGTGGTTGAGAAACCTTCACTGAGATGGTTGGTGTCAAACTGGCTCCAGGAGCTCCTCTGGCCTCGACTGCCTCTGAGCTCTTTCTCCCACGGCAACCACCTACTGGTCTGTCCTGTGCAAAGTGTCTGCTGAAGCTCCAACACCTGGGCCAGCAGATCTTGCTTTGTTCAGAGCAGGCAAGGAGCATTTTGAAGCACACAGCACTTGAAAAGCCAAGTAATGGTCCTAGCTCTGTAACAATTCACACTCACTTGAGATATTTTTTATGGGTACAATACGTTTTCTTTCACCACATGTGTGTTCCACCCTGTGGATTACTTGAATGGCAGAAAGCCATTTTGTTTCCTATGTGATTAGCTGCAGGTTCAATTTCTATCAGGTTTGTCAATTTTGTCATCTAATAGTTTGGGTTGCTTTTTTTCTAGCCTAATGTATGTGACATGTTTCATAATGCCAATAAAAACAGTTTTCAAACTAGACCGTAAATGTATTTGACCGAAAAAGGCCAAGAGTAAAAATACCATCTACTGGGGAGCTTGGATCTGGTGGTGCAAGCTTTTAAATGACAAGTTGCAATTTGTGAAGCAAAGGTTTACAGTTCCTCTGACCACATGAGTGGTTATGCAGTATGGGATTGCAGCTCTGGCTGTGGGGACCTGCTTCTAGCAGCAGATCTGCTCCCCAAAATGGTTTAAATTTTCCTTCTTTGCTTAATTTTTTTTGTTGTTGTTTCTTTATTTCTGATAATGGAATTGTTATGGGCTTTTAAATTTCAGTTAAGAATGTGCAAATAGGCTATCTGGTAAGTAGGTTATTGAAGGGTTAGGGAAATGGAGAACATTTCATGCAAAAGAAATACCCACAGTGTGGGTAATAGACTCCCGTCGAATTTAAAAGATAATGGCGACAAGGGAGAAATCCACTTGTAGAAATGGGGAACAGCTGTGTTTGAGATCTAATGAAACTGTATCAAATACTTTAAAAATGGCTTACAACTTCTCCAGGGAACGGAGATTAAGCACAAGAGCGCTCCTGAAAGGTCGAAGAAACAGTTAAATCATTTCCTTGATAGTTATTAGAGATATAGAAGACATCAGTGAAAATTAAACGTCTGAAACTTGTATTTGATTGCTTTCCTTATCATGCCAATCTCACACTTTTTCTATCTCTTGCTCTCTGTTCTAGTAAAATTTAATAACTGTGCCGGTAACAAGGGAGTTCGGTATGAAACCAACAGCCTGGACTTCAAGGTGAGAGCAGATGGGACCATTTATGCTGTCCACGAGGTGCAAATGGCCTCGAAGCAGTTGATCCTGATGGTGACCGCCTGGGATCCGCAGACCCTTGGCAGGTGGGAGGCCATCGTCAGGTTTCTGGTGGGAGAGAAGCTGCAGCACAATGGACACAAGGTAGGGATCTCTTCGGAGCTCTTATTTCATTCTTCCTTTGATTCTGTTCTCAAACCTTTGAAAGTCATAGGATGGAACATAGGATTGATTGTGTTATCGGGTGTGTGCTTCCAGAGGATTTGTCTAGTTGGAAACCACCGTTAGCAGTAGGAAATTCTTTGCAAATGTTTTACTTATGCTTACTTTCTTTGTTAGTCTCATGCATGTAGCTCCAGAGCAGAAATCTTTTCCTGCCCAGCAATGCAAAAACTATTGCCTCAGTTAAATACAGCTATGGGCTGTGCAGTGCCAATGAAATAAGGGACTGTTCTCATACATGCACACACACATTCCTCTGGTCTGCTCTGTGTAGCTGTCACTGGCCCACCTCTTCCATATCATCTTCAGCAGAAGCAGTTCTTCTTTGTCAGTGTAAATCTGGACTGATTCTGTGTGACACTGATTAAGTGTGGTCATCTCTCTACATTTAAAAAAAAAAAAAAAAGCAGTTCTTCATTGACTGGGTGATTATATTTAAGCACGTTGCTAGATTTGAGGTTCTGTTTAGGGTAAAGTTGGCAGGAAATTGGCTGAGGATCCAATTAATTGCTGAGTCTTGAAGACCTTGTAGAGCAAGGATGAAGGTGGGTGTCAGCTGTGAATGGACAGTCAGGGCCAATTGGCCATGGCTGAAGATTGGATTAATGCACTGTGGTGGCTGTCACAGCAAGCCTGGCCTCTCCTCTTTCTCTGCAGAGCTTGGGTATAGAGTTTGAGAGGAGGAGGGGGGAAAGAGGGAGAGAAGCTTTCTGTGCCTTGGTGTAAGAAAGCTGCAGCATTTGGGAGGACTTGAATCGCGTGTGATATGTGATAGAAAAGACTTGGAGAGTCTTAAATCTAGTAGTCACCCAGTGGGCTGACCCCTGAGGTTTTGCATGGCTTAGAGTCACATAAATACATTTCTGCTGCTCTTCAGTAAGGTTCTGGCTTGTGCAAGATATAATTAAGCCCTGTATGTTATGTCAGCTGTATTTGCCATTTTCTAACCAAAGAAATACTGCTTCCTTCTAAAAGTAATTAAATATTGAAGGAACAAAGTAAGGTGTCTTATATACAGCTTTAAATTCCTTCTTGGTGTAGCAGAAAGAAAACTAAGTACACATTGGTGCTTTAGTAAAATATTTGATTGGAAATTCATCTGATGTTAATATAAGCTGAACTCTGGTTCAAAAATAAAGAGAGTTAAGCTTTTTAAAATTCATATCCGTCCTTTCTAAAAGCCTTATTAGTGTACAGTTTGAGGCTGGGAAAATATTAAAAATGCAACTAATGACAAGGTCACAAGGAGTTTTATTGTGAGTCCCTACACTATGCATCTGAGTTCTGTTTTATTTAGTGGTTGTGCTTTTTGCAAGCAAAATGATCCTTTGTTTACTAAAGAAAGAAATATAGTTATGGGTTCATTTCAAAAACAATAGTGTTACGTTTAAAAAAAAAAAAAACCACAACAATATCCAATACAATGTGTTTCAGGCCATGACCTTAATATACTACATTTCATGGCTTTTACTGGAAGCAGATTTCACATTTGTTTTTGTAAGATACAATATGGCTCAAGCAAAACTACACGATTGTTTTAAAGACTTCTCTGACTGTTGTGGTCTATTCACACTGTGGAGATGGAAAGTATAAGAGAGAAGGGATGGGGTGACATGAGAGAAGGAGCCCCTCTTTCCTTCCTGAACCGCTACTGAAAGGGAAAAGGAGCGTAAGTCTTATGAGGAGCAGCTGAGGGAGATGGGGTTGTTTAGTCTGGAGAAGAGGGACTCAGAGGAGACCTTATTGCACTCTACGACTTCCTGAAGGGAGGTTGTGATGAGGAGGGGTTCGGCCTCTTCTCCCAAACAACAAACAGGACCCAAGGAAATGGCCACGAGTTGCACCAGAGGAGGTTTGGGTTAGACATAAGGAAGAACTTTTTCTCTCAGAGTGGTCAGGCACTGGAATGGCTGCACAGGGAGGTGGTGGAGTCACCGTCCCTGGCAGTGTTCAGGAGGCATCTGGAGGAGGAGCTACGAGATCTGGTTCAGTGCTTGTGGTAGCAGTGGTAATGGGAGGGCTGTTGGACTCGATGATCTTGAAGGTTGTTTCCAACCTTCTAATTCTACGATTCTGTAATCTAGTTTACAATTACTCAAGAATTAGAGCTTCATTAAGACACAGTTATCCTATCTGGAATGGTCATTATCAGACATGGCAAAAATTAATACAGAAGGAATGTTATAGGAGAAGTTGACATAGAAGCTGACCTATAGCTTACCTGCAAAATGGAGGTGGTGGTCTGCTTCCTGGGGGGTACAGAGAATACAACCCTCAAAAACATCTTTCTTTGTATTTGTGATCCTTTATTATTGCAATATATAGGAAATTCCCATGGCAGATCTGGAGAGCTTTGTTGATGGTCAGTGTGTCCTCAGGGTGGGTGGTGAGTTGGTTCAGGATGGCTGCTTCAAGATAGGCATCCCCTTGTGTGCCTTCATTGCAAAATCAGTTTTCTTGGTGTCTACACTTGTGCCTCAGATCCCACAGCTGTGCGGTTTCTCTCTGTTTACGCTGGCATTATGATAGTGAGTGGTCCAACACAATAACAGCATTCCCTCCTTCTTAATGTTGGCCTTATAAATGTGCTAATTGCATTCAATAACTGAATAACCTGGGAAAATTTGCAAAATTTCACTCCCAACTGCTGTAATAAAAAAAAAAAACTTAATGACTACAGTAAAGCTTCATGCTAGGAGGATGAAATGATGGTGAAGAAGGTAAATATTTAAAATGTATGCTTCAGATATCATAAAATATGCATTTTCCCCTCCTCCCCAGAAAATATTCAGGTAAACTTATTTCTGGTTAATGCAAATGGTGTTAGTAACTCTAGGAACCTTTTTTTGTTCAGTCTTGCAGGAAACATGATAGCAATTCAATTAGAAAATGCAAATGAGGTCACATATTTCCCACAAGGAGTGACGAATTACCCCAGAGAAAACCGAGTGATATTCCAGCATAACAATAAATACTTAAGATAAAGTTTCTTACAGTGTTCTTGTCTAGCTGTCTGCAGTTGCAATTTAAAGTATCAATCAGACCTGTGGGTATAATTTGGAATAAAGAAGAAAAAGAAAAGAAAGTTGTTTATGAAACAATATTAAGTCATTGTGGCTTGTGTCAGCATTTATGAAAGATAAACTTGAGTGGGGTAATGCTCCAGAAGAAAACAAAGTAAAGCCAGACTTGACTTATCTGGAATTAGCAGATGTGATGTCTTCTTTCCTAAGAGTGCAGGCTATTATGTATAACAATTGGATATTGATTTAACCACAAGTCGGAAGATTGTTTGTTAACGGTGACATTGCTAAGACCTCAGTCTTGAGAGTGCCCTCTGCTTCTTATTTGCAGAAACTCAAGTCATCTGAAGTGTACAATTGCACACGCAGTGCTTTGTGCTTCATTTTTTGCTCTACCCCCATGTCCATGCAGTCCAGTCTCTCCTCCTCAATCCTTGCTAATCAGCATCCTCTGCTCCCAGTACTAATGTGTGCCATCTGATGTTCTGGCCCACTCTTTTTGGACTTCATTTTTCAGTGCTTGCTTGCATCTAACCATTTATGTGGTTGGTTTTCTGGCAAATTTCTTTATTAGTTTTCCCATTTCTCAATCCATGATTTAAAATCGGGATCATAAAAACACAGGAGAGGAACTTGGAGATGCAGGATATATTCAGTATGTGTAGAATGCAGGTTGTCTTTTCTGCCAGTGACTTACCTTAGGAAAAAAGTATTGTTTTCTTCATAGTTTAGGTTTACACAAACATGATTCTTTTCATTGTTCTAGCTTCTCATATTTTGACTGTGGAAGTATGTAAATTTTTGTAACATTAAATCACTAGAAATTGAGCAATTAAAGTCTCACAAATATATGGGCATGCAACTAATGTTTAGAATGCTGAGAAATACACTGTCAAAAAAACAATGCTTGCTTAAGCCCAGGTTGTGTTTTATTGTCTCATCTTATTTGGGGCTTTTTTCATTACTCAGGTAGGAATCCACAGCCATACAATATGAATGTGATTCTTACAGCCAGTTTTTTTGATTTAAAGCCTTTAAATAATCATCTCTGGCATTTTACCGAGCTGAGATTTTAAATTCCAATACAGCCTTTTATTGCTGATCACAAATACAAAGGTCTCCAGGCAAGGAAAGGCTTATTCAGCACCAATCGTGTTTATGACCTCAGTTATTGCACTAGCCAGGATGCCCTGCACTGGGCTGGCAGCGATGAAGACATATTCTTCCCCTGATGGAAGAAAATGACTGCTTAAGCAGGAGTTGTGCTTCTTTTGCTCCCATTTGCTCTGACTCTTTCAAGTGGGTGCCCATGGAAGAGATGGGGAGAGGGAGAGAAGAGGGGAAGGATGCCTCAGTTTGTTTCCATTCCCTCCTTCCCCTGTACTGTACAATATGATGCTTGGCATCAAGGTGATGGAGTTTGCCTTCAAGTTGTGCTATCCCCACGGAGGGGCTGAAGCAAAAGGATAGTATTTGTCATCCTACCTTTTTTTTGTGGCCATATGCAGATATGATTTCAGAACCAGCTCATTATGCTGTCTAGCAGGTGCCCTGGGGCTGCTCTGTTCCAGCACTTCTGTGGGTAAATTAATAAATTAATATCATATAACTGTTACCAGTGAGACTGATCACGTAATTGTGGAAGTCTAATGAAGACACGTCAGGTGAACTTGTCTGACTTCATGCTTAAGTGAATTTGAACATCTAGCATTTAATCATCGCGTGAGCTGGAAGTGCTGTTTGTGACAACATGTGAACTTTCCTGACCTGATTTTCAGGTGCACTCAATCACATTGTCTTGCATTGCAACCAAGATAAGATATGACATACAGGTGCTCATTGCCTTGGAAAATCAGCCCACTATGTGAAGTTTCCAAGCACTGCACTCACTGCATTTAG